CAGATAAGGAAGATAGGAAATGTGCTAGAGCCTGGCTTGAAGATATCAGTATTTGCAGGAGACTTAAACAAAAAACTCCACTTGTCAAGCACAGAAACAGCAAAACCGAATCTCGCTATCAAAGGAATAGACTGTGTAAACTATGAGAATGAACAGCTCCGATTCACAGGGGGTGTTGGAGGGGTCTTGAACATAGCAGTCTTTATGTTGTGGTGCAGTGGGGGGAGAGCCAGGAATGACCACCATGGTGTCATGTTACAGGCTGTTTTCCTAAGCCACAAATCACATGCCCACTTCCAGCACTTATCAGCCAGTTGCTGCCTCTGTGTCCGAGGCCTGCTCCAGAAAGCAGTATTTTGCTTTTTTTCTTTTAAATTACAGCAAAGCTTTTTACACTATGATTTAAATTAGCATAGAAAATCTACCTGCAGTGCAATCACATGCATAGAACGTTCAGCAGAAATCTCAATAGTAGTGTCTCAAAAATACCACAACTAGAGACAACAAATAGAGATGCTAGGTCCACTGCGAGCTTCAACATTATACTGTAATGGCGCGTTGCAGCTTTTGCTCACAAGCTGTTTAAGTAATACACATCCCTCAGATATTTTGAGCAGCCAGCAAAACATGTCACGTGGCTCTTTACTTCACAGCAATCATCTGTGAGTGATAATTTTCACAGACACGTACCCTAAAATTAATTTGATGATAAACTTGTGTTTTATTTGCAATACAGGACTGACTCAGAGTAGAGAATGTCGGTGCTTGGCTGCACATTTACACCAGTTTTAACCTCAACAAGCCAGTCATTCAGTGTGGAAAATTCTTCCCCTGCCCAGTTTGTGCTGATTAGCACTAATGCAGTTGGTGTCCTCGGGCCACATCCCTGAAAACAAACTAGCACTGTACTGTACACACCAACTGTATGAACACAATAGCCCAAGCCGCTCCATTCAGCACTAGTTCTGTCACTTTGCAAGGTGGCACTTTCCTGCCTGTCTGTATTCCTGCTGTATCTGTGAAAGAATCTGAAAGCTCAAGAATATCCCTTTCTCTTATTTCTTTCAGCAGAATGAGACAGTAAACATTATATCTTGCATAAAATCTAAGGCTATTTGTTTCTGTTCCCTGTTTAGTAGTCATTTAAGTATTTTAGACAGCTGTATATTCTAAAATGGGGTTTGTAGCTTACTGTAAGTGAGCCATACTTTTAAGCATTTTACTGCAACAAAATTTCATTTTCCACTTAGAGACATGAATGTGAGAAAAAAACAAGAACAAAAGCTGGCATCTTCACTTGCATCTGGAAAACAAACCCCCTTGACTACAAAGACATTTTAGATGTAGAAAAAATGTTCTAGGATTAAGCACAGATTTGGAATTAGAAACTGAAAGAAGTTGCAGCATGTCTAAAACTAACAAGACAGATAAAGATAATAATAACAAACAAATAAGAACAGATTTTTTTTCTTCATGAAAAACAGCACAGACCTTGCTGTGGTCTGTTCAAATTCCATGGCCAACAAAAATAGTATTTTGGCAGTCTGTTTACAAAGCTTGCAAATTGTAAACACATTTCGTAAACTGATGAAATATGAGAGAAACGACAAAGCTAAGCAAAAAAGCCAGCCAACACACAGGCCACCTCTTCCACAGCGAGATTTAGACGTTGAAGCACTGAAAACAAATACAGGCGCCTAAATATAAGAGCAGCCCCTGACTGACCAAAAACATGGCTCGTATTTTTATTCACAGATCAGCGCTGAACAAACGATGACTTAAAACATCGAAAAATGACCGTGTTGTGTTCAAATGCTGGCACATTTTGTAGGAACCAGCTGGCAGAAAAATAATACAGCTCCAGCTCTCCATCTCAGCTAGCTCGCTAGCCGTTGCCTATCGTGACAACAGCTCGGAATACTCAACTCTATCGCCAGGCAAGCTAACGTTAACTGTAGTGTCGTTTCGACATTTAAAACATGCAAAAACACACAAAATATATCTGGAGATGTCACGTTTAGAGAAAACTGGCCCATTACCGTCAGCTCCTGGTTGTCGGTGTCTCGGTGGCTGACTGCGCGGATTACCCCAGCTCTCCAAGCCCAGCGCCCAATGTCGCCGAGCTCCAGCGGCTCCTCGCCGCTCACGCACAGGAACCGCTTCCCCACCAGCTCCGGCCGCGCTTCCCCCGCCATGGCCTTTCACGGGAGAGTGAAAAACCCCTCGGAAAACTTCAACGCCGATGCCCTATCGATCGGGCATGAAAACGGTGGATGGAACAAAAGAAAAGAAAGTGAAAAAGAAAAAAAGGTAGTATTTTTGCCTTTTTTCTCTTCTTTGCCGTGTCGACCTCAAACCGGGGAGGGATTTAAATCTGTTTCAGCCTCCACCCGCACACACTCGCTCTTTTCGCTCTGTGAAACTGAACACTGGGACGCATCACTGCCACGGTGAGGCATGGTATCCCTCCGCCTAGCTCCGTGTGTAGAAGCCCTGTCAAGCCGTTTCACACATCTTCTTCCGCCAGACGCATTCATTCTCAATGAGAGTCGGATAGCCTCCCTAACTGTGGAAAATAGTGCTCACATGTTATTGTGCTTGACCACCAGCCAAAATCTGTCAAACATAACACGTAAGGATTTTTATGCATACACGCTATCTTACATGAAATAGGTTGAATTATTTTTACAAAAAATGTGTACAAAATACCATTGGTTCACTCATCCACTGTCACTGCACATACAGCAGTATCTGCTAGGTGAGGCATAGTAGTAGCGCATCAGTGTGACTGGACTTGTGATACGATCTTGAAGTTGTTACAGTGATACGATAACAAATGCATGCCAGTTTATTCAAATCTGGAAGCATGCGCTCCTTTTTCGTGTATATATAGCACAGACTAATAATTCAAAAAGTGTTTGCTTTTCGTGTGTCTCCTCTGCATGACCCTCGTGCTTCCCTCGAGGGCCGTGCGGCGATGAGAATGAGAAGGGGTGCTGTTGTATGTAAAGCGTGTCCACTGGAAGCAATCAGCCCTGTGTCACCTTCAGGTCAGAGGAGTAGATGGAGAAAGATAGCTTGCTGCTGATAGAATCACAAATCATAGAGCTCCTGAGATGGTTGTTAAGCTCTGCCTGTCTAGTCGCGAAGAAGCTCTTCTGAGAGCAAAATAGAAAACCAGCACTATAACTAAGTGCCTGGTGGGCATACAGAAATCTAATATGTGGTAATACACGAATTTCAAACATCTGACATATATTAACATATATGGATTTTTTCTGATATCAAACTTATGTTTATAACATATGGCCATATATGTAGCATATGCCAATTTATCTGAAATTGGCTATTTTCAATTATGGGGCATATGTGTAAGCTATTTATCTGTATGTGCAAGCACATATGTGTAACTTATCTTTTTAAAAATGTATGATAGAAAACATTATTCATTTAAGGATGGCGTATATTTCTCACATATACTATCTTAATATTTTATATGTATATATATGTATATATATATGTATATATATATATATATATATATATATATATATATACACACATATATATGTATACATATATATAGACACACATACTTTGAAATATGTATTTGACCCTTTATGATACACGTGCATATATGGCCACATATCAGATTTCCATCTGGGTGTGAGCTGCCTTTTGAACACCATCTTTTGTAAGTGAACCCCGCAGAACCTGAGATTTGATATCTTAGGTTTGTTTTTTTTGTTGTTGTTGTTTATTTTACACACCATTTAGCTGATATTCAGACAATTGCTATTACAAAGCACCACATACTGTGATCATCAATGAAGATATGGCTGTTAATAGCACATGTCAATAGCACATGTGTTTAAGGAGATGTCATTTACTTATTCCATTTGTGAACTTGTAACTACTACTTTATTAAGAAATAACATGGCATGAAATCTTCATCTTCTGTAATTAACACAGTAAAATTAGAAAAGAATTAAACGACTGATGTCACTAGCAGTGGCAGGTCATTTGCAACACAGACCAGCATGCTAGAATTTTGTAATGGTCTGTTGCCATGTTGAAAGGCCTGCATGTATTCAGTGTTAATCTACATAGCAATAGGATAAAGATAAGGCTTGAAGCAGGGAAAGAAATCCCCCACTGCAGACATGCACATGAATAACAACAAGATTAGCAGGAGAAGCCACAATTCAGATATCATCTGTTGCCAAGCATGTTCTACTACTCTTGATGTGTGCCTTGTAAGCATGTAATTAGAAAGCTTCTGCTCATCTCCCCTTGGGGTGTAAGAGGGATTACTATCATCAGTTTCATGGAATAATAGTTGTGAAACTACAAGTTTTGCATAGAGAACATGCTGAATTGCTGCAGAAAGAGGGTGTTTTTAAAGGCATTTTCCACTGCAGCGATCTGTTATCTGCACAATATTGAGATTGTGGCATTTCAGGCTTCACAATAATGTAAAACAGTTTTCAATCACCTACATTTATGTAAAATTGTATAGTATGTGCAAATTTATTTACATGACATTAAAATTGCTCTATGGTCCCAAGATGTTCCTATATTTCGAGATATAATTACGTGTCTAAATAGTTTAAAAAATCTTTTTTAAAATATCAATTTATAGTAACAATCGCTGTATTTGTACGACTGTACTTTTCTTACTGTATTTTTCCGGCTCAGCTTTCTAATACACCGTCTGCCGATCCAGAGTAAAAAGCCTGAGAACCAAGCATTTCAAGCATTTTTTTTTTTCATTTTTTAGTTTTTGATTCGTTTCCGTGCACGGTACGTGTTTTATGACTAATCGCAGTTTGAAATTCTTGCTGAAAACGTTGCCATGTCGCTGTTCGTCATCTAAATGCCACTCTTTGATGAACGTTTGTTTGAACCAATCGTTGTTCTATAGTCATGTAAACAAAAGATATTGACCAATCAGAAAGCAAGGGGCGGGCCCGGTAAATCAACCCATCTCTGACGTCAATGCGCGCACCTTGCTAGCCGTACGGCCCCAAAGCAGCGTCGGTTAGGTGGAGGGCTTGGAGGAGCTGAAGAAGCTAAAACAAAGCTAGCTACGAAAAACTGCCGTCATCTAACTTATAGTCGATGTTTGGCTTCTTAAAATGTCAAATTTTAAGACATTCTTTTAGGCCGTTAAAGCTTAGCCAGCGCTTTCGAACTTGCCACGGCTTAGCCGCGGCCGTTGCTAAGCAAATAGCCGTGCTAAGTTAGCGAGCTAGCCACTAGCTTAGCCGGCTATCGTTATCCCAGTACGGCCTCTCTAACTTCGCTGAGCCCTTCTTCTATTCTCATGCCCTGCCGACTTGAAGGAAGATGGTGTCTTGGATTATATCAAGGAGCGTGGTGTAAGTTCGACAATCTGTTGTAAAAATTTGCTCGGATTTATGAATACATTTATAATCGTGTCGTCCCATATTTGCAATGTTATTGCCTAACGTTACTGCTTGTTGGCTAGCGTAGTTAAGTAAGTTAGCGTTATCTCCAGAAACCTGTTTTGCTTCTTGTTTTATAACTACTTTTAGTTTTGCTAACAGTAATGTTAAATACAGTAGATATGCGAGATTGTTCGAGTTATTTTCACTGTATGAAAGTATACAATGCAGTTAGTTGGGAATGTAAAGAAAAGATGGCTGGCTTGTCATTGTATACGTTGTGCTTAGGTTGCTAGCTCGTTGGCTGGCTGCGACCTACGGCGCGCGTACCAGTCTCTTAATGTTAGTTGATAAAGGAACTTAAGTAATATAAGGCTATAGCTTAAATCGAAATATGTCCAGTAACAGCCGAATTGTGTGGATCCAGTCACCATAGCTGGAATAAGTATAAGGTGCCTTTTTTATAGCGACCTGCTCTACCAGACAAGCTCCTTTGTTGATGCAGTGCTTTGTCGTGCACCGTCATGTAGAGACAAAGCTATGTATGCTTTTATTACTTGAGCATGCATTGAAAGCCGGGTTGAGTTAGTAATCACAAGATTCTGACTCATGTGCGTCTTTTAGACTGTTTCCTCCCACTGTGTCATGGATACTACCTTTGTAATTAATGTTTAACAGTAGGTAAGCCTGGCCAGGCCTCTCCCACAGAAGGCTGATTTACCTGCTTTACCTGTGCTCCACAGGCCTGTATCTTGTCACAGCTGGTTTAATCTGGAAAAAAAAAATAATAATAATATCATAGAACTCCTAAAACTCCAGTGAACGCTCTTTGCATATTAAGGTGGAAGTAGATTGCGTATGGTGTTGGTCCAAGTATGTGCAAGAAGTTCAGGACTTTATTAGCAACCTGTTTGCTTAATAACTTGCACACAAACTGAAGTCCTCTTACTGATTTTTCTAATGTGTCAAAATATACATTTCTGAGCATATTTTGGATATCGTCAGTACTTAAATAACACTGACCAACTTCATGTTTGATTACAAGGAGGGCATTATTAGTCCTTTTCCTTTTTTATTTAGTGTAGCACAGTGTGTGAAAAGTTAAAAATCAATAATACTTGTAGTTTTTAGTGTAGCACTACTGGCTGTTTTTTTTGCCTATTCTAACATATGAGATGTCAGAAAAAAATATTGTGACATACTGTATGTCACGACCTGATATTATATTTTTGCCATATTGTCCACCACTATGCCTTCCACTTAGAACTTAGACTTATGTATTGGGCAGATGAGAGAAAACATATTGCACTATGGACTAGCCAGAAGATGTATATTAGAGTTCACTTTGATATTTTCAAATAATGAAAATTGAATTTCATTATTTGGCACACACAAGATTGGCCTGTGCGGGGTAAATGTTGGTGGAGTATGATATACAATTATTAAAGGCCAGGTTTGGTTTCAAATGAATGCTATAGTAATGAATTAAGCAGGCCTAATAGTAGGTTATGTCCATATAAGCAACCCCTTGAGGATGAATGAGTACTGTTTTTCAGTAGAGCAACCAAAATCTTACATGACTGTCTGGTGAGTTTCCTTTTTTGTACAACCAGCCCCGTTTGAACAGTGTTTGAGCTCAGTCAAAAGCAATAAAACAGTGGTAGGTTATTAGCACTAAAGGTAGCACAATTACAAATGATGGGAAACACCAATCTTTAAAATAGCAAACGTAACAATGACTATATATGGACTATAGGCTGTATATGTTAGCCCAGGGGCGCTTGTATCCTATCCTGAATGGCTGGTGTCCAGTACAGTTTGGTGAACACCTGGATCACATCTGGCTTAATTTATTTGTTAATTATCAGGTTTAATAGGTTTGTTTAAAAAAGGAAAATCACTAAAATTTGAAGGTTACTGGCCCTAAAGTGGGTCTGAATTGAATACCTCCCATAGCCTGCACTGTATATTTGAAAGGCATTTTCTCAAACAAACAGGACCTTTGCTTTTTGCCTGTGCAGCTTTAAAAATGTATATGTTAGGTTTTGTTGTATTTTTGACTAGTAGGGTGAGGTATACCGGTATGATTATGTCTCATAATCTGGATTTTTCCAAATTGTGGATATTGACCCCAAAAAAAGATAAATCACGAACAGTCTGTCCCCAAAATAAGTTGAACATGAGATCAAGCAGCTTTAATTACTCTTATACTCAAGAAAAGCACATTTTAGACCAGAGCTGTTAACTGCATCACTGGATGCCACTTGTTGTATGCTCTTATGTTAATCACTGAAGGTTTTTATATTGTCCATGAAAAGGTTGATTTGCCATGGTTTCTTTTTTTCCCCTCCTTTGTTGTGCTGTATTGTATCATACAAAACTTATGTAATGTTGTGCAAGACAAGGAAGGAAAAATCAGTTCGTAAAATGCATCCAGCAGGCGGGACCTAGCAGTAACCTTAGCAAAAGTAGAATAGCGTGCTTCCTTTTTCAGATATTATTATTATTATTATTACAGACACCAACTTTAAAGTTCAAGCTACAATTGTGAATGTTTACATCATATCAGCGACGTTTGTTTTGTATGCAATGTAGGGTTATTTATATTCATGTGATAATGAACATAAACTAAGCTAGTCTTGAGCTAGGTTTGCAAAGACCAAGAAAAACAGTGTAACCAAAAAAAAGTACATTGTTTCATTTTTTTTTAATCACTGATCTGTCCACCCAGGAGTTGCATTAAGGTGTCCTTAGCTGAGTAAATCTGACAGCACTGCTGGGGGCTCTGTTCCACATTACGTAAGATACTTCTGCAATGTGTATGACCTGTTTTTTAAGCACCCACACTAATGTTTAGAGTAACGTGTTTCCTGCTATTATTATTGCAAACTGTCGGCTTTGTAGTCTTTTTGGGGCTCAGTCTTTCTTCATTTCCTTAATGCAATGCAATAAAGTTATTTTCTAATACAGGGACTGTTGATGAAAGGGCAGTGTTTCTGCTTAGCTCTGCCTTTAATAATGCAACTCTTGCTACTGGTTGGCTTTTAGACATGTTCTAGAGCACATGTGTTAGGCTCTGGTTCTCGTGGGCCAGAACACTGTAGACCTCAGCACACTACCTCATTAAACACACCTGCTTCAGCTCATCAGCTAATTAGCAAGGCTTTCATAAACTGAATTCAGAGCATTAGATGAGAGTAAATGCTAATCTCCACAGCACTTTGGCCTGGAAGGTCCCCAGTTTGACATGCATGTTCTAGAGGAACAGTTTAGTAGGGTGGTATCGATACTGGTATTGGATATCGGCCTGAGCACGTGCTCATGTGCTCGTACTTGACCATAAAAATGCACCAATACTAACATCCGATAACAGCTGATACAATGTGACGTGAGCCTAATTAGTGTATGCTGCTGTGCTAATGAATAAACAACTCAAGCTGGCAGTGGTTGAGGGTCTGCTCACACAGAGAAGCCGTACTGACTCCAGGGCAGTCAGACACAATATCGCTGGTCACTTTGTTGCGTTGTGGCTTGGCAGATTCCAGCCAGGAATTCATTATATGATTTTTAGCCTGTTTTCAAACACACACAATCACAGCCGCTTCCCCAATATGGGTAGAGACATGTAGGCTTGCTAAACAGAGGCAGAAAAAAAACAAAATTTGTCCAGCTGTCTGCAGAGTTTCACATAGCATGGAAGCAGTTTCATACGGTGTGAGTGTATAAAGCATCCTCGCACGATGCTCAATTCAAACATACAGTGTGAGTCATCAAAAACAAGATTTCTAAAATCACACACTGTATGTCCGACTTTAGAGGACTTTAACTACAACTCAGGCAGCACTTTAAAAGACTTCAACAAGACAAAACTCCACAGGTGAGCTCCTTGAATTAGCCTCGGCTGTGATTCCTGCTGTCACTGTGCTGCAGAGGCTGTTGTTCACAGGGACAGATGAGGAGCATGAGAACAAAACTATGAAACATACTTATAGCCGTGCAGAAGTGCTTTTCTGACATGGAACAAAACCCACTCTTCAGCGGCACGGTAAGGTAACCAAGGTAACTAATGTAACAAAGCTAGCTAATCCACATCATTTAAATCAGCTAGATTTTAATTATTTAAATTAACTGTTAAGGTACATTGCACTCATGTACACTAACTAATTTTACATTTTAATTCATTGTGGTATCAGATAATTGGTGTTGGTGTATAAAAAATAAATATGTACACGTTCTGAAAAAAATGCTATCGATGCATCCCTACAATTCCTACATTTGGATTTTTATTTTTTTACCTCGAAAAAGCAGTTCTGTTGTTGAAGGAGGATGGAGTTTGTTTGCGAAGTTCACTTTGGTCTGTGTTGATCTGGGTACTGAATATTAGCTTCTCATGGGAAGTATATGTGCAAAACAGGAGGAAAGTGGCCATTAGCGAGGGCAACTCCTTGGAAACAATGTTTTACCATGTGGGATTCCTAAAGACTTACTGATGCTTTAGCGAATGAGACATTTTCTAGATGTCAGCTAGGTTCTCTGTTTTATGTTTGAGGAATATGTTCAAATGATAAAGCAGAGTAGGTCCGTACTCTTCGTTAGGCTTTTTGCCTATTTAAGGAAAAAACAGGACCAGCTTTGTGAGTTGAACCAGATGTTGAAATGAAGGCTCTTTGGATCTCTAGCTTTAGTTCATTATGAGCCCCCAGCATCTGGCTCTGTGTGGCGCCCTGGCCACACCATCGCCTGAGTGGGTGTACCGTGTCAGTGTTTTTTAGCAGGAAACTCAAAGTTGACCTAAAACAGAATGTCAAGGCCTGTCTGAGGGTTTTATTTTTTCAGCTGCTCACTGCAAGATCGAGGCCCTGTTTTGCTGAAATTGCTTCAAGAACTCTCTCGGCAGGCTCCATTTCCTCTAGGGCTCCAGCTCTAGGAAGGAGGGCTTCTCTCTTTGTAAATGACTGATGATGATGTGCAGC